TCTCTCTCTCTCTCTCTCTCTCTCTCTCTCTCTCTCTCTCTCTCTCTCTCTCTCTCTCTCTCTCTCTCTCTCTCTCTCTCTCTCTCCCCCCGCCCACATATACACACAGCCCCCTTCGTCCCATGTCGGTCGTGTGTCCGTGGCAAGAAAGACGTCAGTGCAAGTCCTCGTCTCTGATTGGGTGGCCGGGGAATTGCAAGCGAGAGAGCCTGCGTCGGATTTCCAGAAGGTCTGCAAGCAACAGGTTGGCAGCCTTTAGCTTATCGTCACTGGATCTGCTTGCGTGATCCTTCGGCGCCCGCTCCTCCTGCTCCTTTCCATTCCTCCCCTCTTCAATGGAGCGCCGAATTTCGTCTAGTTTCCGTTTCACAAGGGCAATTTGCAAATCCACCTCCGCCAGATACTGCATCCCCGATTTGCTAGTGCTCGTCAGCCGGCCGTCCCCGTCACCCTTCTGATCAACCTCTCTCTCATGAGATAACCCCTGAGAGCTTTCTTCTGCGACGATACAATTTTCGTCCGACTTTTCCCGCCCATCCCCACCGTCAGTGATGGACCCTCGTGACAAGTCATTAGGGTTTAAGGTGCTGGTGTCTATCTTAAGGCCCTCCCCTCCTCTTCCTGGCACCTTAGTTGTCGTAGATCCATAATCATCGTCCGTTCTCCACTTGTGATCCGCCGCTGCCCTGCCGCTGTCGGGATCAAGTTCTGGGCTGCGTTGGTACATCCGTTCCAAATCACTTCTCTCCATATCCAAAAACCTTGCTTGAAGCTCTTCTTCGTCCATCTTTCTTTCCCGCCTCTCCCACCCGACCCCCTTCTCCTCTTCTCCCTCCTCTCTCTCTCTATTTCTCTTCACCCTCTCCTCTTTCTCCTTCCTGATTTCCTCCCCCTCCCCCTGGTCCTCCTTACCCCCCCTCCCTTCCTCTCCATTCCCCACGCCAGGCATTCGAATCTGCCATCTAGCGCTCATGGAGTCTCCAGTGTCATCACCACCCCCACCCAATTTTACATCCCGTTGACGACAACGGTAATCCTCCTCGCCGCCTACTGCACCTTCACTCGCCACGGATTGGTTCAGCGGCTGCTCGTGTCCTCCATAGCTAGAGCCACGGCTAGAGCTATGACTGCGGGTGGTAGAGCTATGGTTCGAATCAGGGTTAGCGTTAGAGGTAGAAGGGGGAGGGGGAGGGAGAGGGGGAGGGGGAGGGGGAGGAGGAGGGGGGTTGGACGGGGTAGATTCTCCCCGCACCGTTGTCCCTTCCCCCGGCTCCCCGGCATAAAAGACTGAGGAAGCCGACGTCTGCTGCAGCTGATCGGACGCCATAGCCGCAGCTCCCGTTGATCCTGCGTGCATCGTGGACGACGAAGAAGAAGAACGAATCCCTGATCCTCCATCTCCACCGCTCCTAGAGCTTGCTGTCAACGCTACTATCAATTGCGTTTCTCTTCGCGAAATCATTTCCCCAAGTTTTTTGGCCAAAGCTTCGAGAACCTTCGCTCGGCGATGCGATTTCTCCAGCGCATTCATCACGTTGCTCTTCTCCTTCAGCACCCGTCGCGCAGTCGCTTCGTCTCCTTCCCTGATCGCCATAACCGTGCTCGATTGCAGGCGTTCCACGGCATTAGTTAGCCTGACGAACCTATTGCGAGCAGCACTGGCTTTGGCCTGGGTCTCCGACATCTCCTCTTGAAGGGAGGCGATCTCCTCCCTCAGATCATCCACAGTGATTACCTCCCTCCTCCTCCTCCTTCCTTCTTCCCCACCGCCAGAGCCATTCCTAGCTTCAGATGGCCGATCATCAGGTTCAGCAGCTGCCCTAGGTGTAAGCCATCCGATTCCCCGCCGGCTTAACTTCCCGCCAAAACTCCAGCCTGCGTTTGCTCCTCGTCCCGCCTCGCCCTCTCCTCCTCTCCCTCCGTTGGCCAAACCCTTCCCGCCAATCCTCGATGAACACACGGCGCGTCTGACAGAATCCTTCCCCCCCCCCTCGTCGATCTCTCTCCCCCGCCGCTTAAGGAGCGGCGACGAGTCGGGAGACTGCAGCGGTGGCGAGGCGGCGCTCCTGGGCCCCACGTGCAGCGAACGAATCGTCGTACCCGGCAGGCTTGACACCTGGCTTCTTCTTATCGATAGCTCCGTCCACGTGCCTCGCCAACTCGCACGGATGGGCCGCACAGCTGCCCCGCGATGGCCTCCTATTGCCTTCATCTTCATCGGGACGGTCCAGCCTCTCTCCTGCTGCCACGTGGAAGATGCGCAGATCCAGCAGCACCTTCTTTCTGCCAGCCTGCTGCCATTTTCAGGGCAGATGTTGACTGAAAATGAGGCCCACAACGCCGCCGCCATAGCTCGCTACGGCTGGAATGAGTCGAAAACGGGATGGAAATCTGGTCGTAGAGCGAAGGGAGGCGAGGGAGTAATAGTACAGACGCGCAGTACAGCGAAATTTGCCTTCATGTTCCCCACCTGAAACGACACAAGAAAGCATCAATTAGAAATTGCTGACCATTCGCTGCACATGTTTTCAAGACTGTGGGCATATTCACACGAGGACTTTTTCCACTGAGCCCTGGACGTAATTGCAGTCAGATACGTCCACCTTGGAGTGTCATTGCGCTTAGAAACATCCAGGAAAAGTTCGTCCGCGCTTGAGTACTGCCCTGAGAGCACGACGCCTCCTGTTTCTCATCCTTTCCTGCATCGTCAGTAAAATATGGGAGTTAAGCTGCCGACCAGCTCGAAAGTATCCAGACTACATGTTTGGTTCCGTGCATTTGCAATCGACTCCCGAGATCAGCGTAATGCTGGCAAACGCACACAATTCCGGCAAACTATAAACAGATATCACAAACTGCGGTAGCCGAGATTGAGGCGTGCATTATGAAAAGCAACGATCGTGTTCACTTGCCGCTCCTTGTTGCCCTTCTCACCTCTCGCCATATCCTTTCTCCTGACGTCACCTGTTTTCTGGCCATCTCCTGCATTCTCTTCGCGCCATGCCCACACGCGGAGCGGCGGACGTCCTGAAAAAACTGAGGACGGTGATGCCGAGTTGCTTCAGCAAATTGCTCGTCGCAGTGTCAGGAGTTCGAGTCCAGCTTGATTAGCTCTGCTCCGCCACACTTACCGATCACCTGCCAGCCTAGGTTCCACTTGCACGGATTAAGAGATAGAGACCGTAGATAGCCGAGATCAACAGCCGAAATCTCCTAATCCGTGCAAGTGGGACCTTGCCCCCGGTTGCCCCCGGTTGCCAGCCCGTAGACTACCGGTAGAGTTCATATCCCACCGGCTCTCGTTTGTGTTTTTTGTCGTTTTGTGTTGCAGGGCCGCTGCGTCTTGAGTAGCCTCCATTCGGACACCCCTGAACTGTTGAAATGTACATGTTCACAGTTCGAATCCAAATGGAACTCGATGAACAGAAGACCGTAATTGTGAATTACGGGGCCCGGACCCAAGAGCCTAGCTCAGTGGGTACACCCATGAACTGTTGAAATACGGACCTGTGTTCGAATCCATATGATGGAACTTGACGAGTAGACGAGTAAAACCAACTACTAGTAATGAATTGCTTGGGGCCGGTCAGCTCAATGATAACATCTCAAGGCCGTCGCCCTTTCTCTTAAAAAAAAATAATAATAATAATTACGGGGCCCGGTCAGTTCCATGAATGATGATATCTGACGGCAGGTCAGTTGCTGAGAGCGTGGTAGTCAGATGCCGAGAGCTCCGGCGTTGCAAGCAAGACGTTGTGAGTTCAACTCCGTATATCTGCCCTCACCTCTTGTGGACACGCTTGGCTGGTGCTACATGACACTCCGGCGCGACTCGCCCCACTACAGTAGTAGCGCAGCAGATAGAATCTTGTGCAACGGTTTGGGGAGCACTCGTTATGGGCTATCATAAAGGTGAAAACTTGCACGGCTTGGCGGGCAGGAGCAGATCAGGAGTTGGAGGGGAACAGTGGTCTAGGGCTAGAGAGGGTTGGGTGGGTACTACCTACTCTGGGGTGCACTGCTCTACAGGGGCCTGTTTGGGGAGCACTGCTGTACAGGGCATCATTATGGAGGGAGGTGAATGTTCTTCGGGAGCAGTGCCAGATTAGGGGTATGTCCAGGACAAGTGTGGTAGCTCAGTGGGTCAGAACTCTGAGAGGTTGAGGGTTCAATTCTGTTGGCCCTGAACCTCCCCTGTGCAAGTTTAGTTGGTGCTAGGTTAGCACCCAACCTACTTGTCCCTACCAGCCTTCCCTACCAGCCTAGTGCAGCACATCGACGAATCAGCAGATGTGGGTTGGAGCTAGGGTGCTGCAAGGGAGAGGTCTAGGGCTCTATTATGTTGCACATGACATTGTGCAAGGTCACATAGTACAGATATAGTCGGGGCACAGGGAGGGATGTGCCAGGTGTTTCAGTGGTTTCAGTGGTGGGGACCAGCTGCACAGCGCGAAGTAGTCTGGCCTCTAGAGGGGGCTGTGACGCGCTAGTTCCCGGACCTGTGCCATCTTCCGTTCCCCTGCCCCATCTTCCGTCCCCCCCCCTCCCTTTTTTTCTTTCTCTTTTTATCGAATTTTGGGTGACCATCCGACAAGGCCTTTTTTTGTATTTTCATGGATGTAATATGTGAGATCCTCGGATCAATTTTTGAAAATTTGCCTTTTGCAAATTCGGGAATTACATGGGAATTACGTGCGCCTTAGCAAGCGCGCTAGGAATTTGGGACGACAGTTAGGAATTTCGAAATAAGCGGAATCTGACGTGTCCTTTCTTGCGCTTGAATGTTCTCAACCTCGTCTTGGAAAGCTCTGAGAACTTTCGTAGGAATCTGAATAGGCATAGGATTTTTCTCCCGCACCTGCTCTACCACGCGGATATGGTACTTTTCAATTTGAAATAGCTGTAACTGTTTTGGTGCCCTTTTTGCCTCCGCGTCGGCGCCATGCATGCGAGCCTCCCCTTTCCGCTTCCCACGCTCTTCGCGCTCACACTCCTTCTCTCTGTGTAACCGTTTTCCATCTCTTACTCGACCTTGTGCACCTTATCTCTTCTTCTTGATCGTCTGAATCTTGGTTCCGTTTCACACTATTCTTCCCGCTCTTCTTCTTCCCGCTTTGATCTCCGCGCCAAAATACCCTGTCGACCCCCTTTCTTTTCCCTTAGTCAAGGAGACGCGCTGTGTAAGAAGGAAATTCCTGATACACGACGATTCTGATTGGCTGCTGCTAGGATCCAAAGGATCGACATGGCTTTCGTCGGGTAATCCCTAAGCCCTCCCCTACTCCTTCATGTCTCAGTCCTAACCCTTCCTAGCATCTATTTTTTTTTCCGCAGCTATAAATTTCGCAAGCTCTCCAGAAAATCTCTCTCTCAACTCATCTGCCCGCTTCCGGGAAGCCGTGGCTAGATGGTAAGAATGAAGGCGCGAGTCGAAAAGTCCCGACGAGCTGGCTGTAATCTGGATGCTCGGTATGCTGGATCGCCCGACGGACTGTCGAATCCGAGTAGGGCTGTGTCGAGGCTAAGTCGGCGGGGTGACGATCGCTATGGTGGATTTGGCACTTGACGGTCGGGATCGTCAGTGCAAGTGAGATGTTCGAGGTTCGAGTCAGAAGTGAGTGAGAGTGTATGGCCTGGGGCTATGGTAGAATCTTATGGCAGAAGTGCTTCCTTTTCTGTTGTCCCTAAATTTTTATCTTCAAGTGTGAATTTCGATCACTCAGGTTTTAAGCCGGAGCTTTCTTGGACAAAATTGTCTGACATTTTGTAATTGCTTTCTACTCGTTCTTCCCTTCGGGTCCGCGTCCACTCTCTCTCTCTCTCTCTCTCTCTCTCTCTCTCTCTCT